CAGTGAAGAGGCCTTAATGAAGTATTATATGGATGGAAGTTCTGGGAGTATGCGAACCATGACTACGTCCGGTGAAGATTCCGACTCCACAATATCCGACTTTTCTGAAGGTTGTTTCCTTTGAAAATCCGGTTAGATACAGCCTCTTGGTGTTAAATGACTTTTTTCAGATGAAACTCAAGGAATGGAATTGTAGCAAGCTGAGCTGGCATTCGCATCAATTCTTAGGAGTAAAATGCACGCTTTGAGATGCTTTCAAGGGACTCGTCATATTCGTGTAGGTGATGTGTCAAATCTAGAATCGCTTTTGGAAGAGCTAAATGTATGAAAAATAGCTTTAAATCAGAGGGAAAATCGCTTTCGGTTCGATATATTGTAGTTTGCCCTAAAAGTAACAAAGTTTTATCTTGTCTTTCATGTGGTATGGAACAGTTTCTGAGCTATGGTTATGACATTTACTTGTATAAAATTATAAGGTCATTTTAGAAAAAATGTAGATGCTGTTTATATGTACAGTTTACTATGACTTAAACAAAAGTGAAGTCGGTGGTTTCAATGCTAATCTAGTGGAATGAATGATTAGTCAAAGAACTTGTGATTTAATTGGGTAGTCTAGGATTCACGTTGAATATTTTCTCATTATTAAATGCAACTCATGTAACCTCCAATAACTTTCCAATTCTGTATCTTTTACTTGTAGAAATTTTTTTGCTACTGTTTCCTCTAGCTGTCTCTAGGGTTCTTTATTTCGTTCCTCGCTGTTTGTACGGTTATGGTCGAAGAAGTTTCCCATAGTTTAAAATGAGCAAAAGAGGCGCTCGTTTTTTGGCTTATCCTAGTCGAGGTATGTAAAAACTGTCGAGTGTTGTGTAATAATTTTTGTTATGTTGTAAATAATGAATTTGCGATTAGCTGTAGCTGAGTGGCTTTTGATATAAACGTACAGATTTTACCAGTGCGCAGTTGCTAATGGCTTTTGCAAAGTATGTTTTCTTTTGGCATTTTAAACCAGTACTTTACTATTATTTTGAATGTAATTTGATTGTACTATGTGGTTAATAAACTACAATCTTAGTACAGCAAGAAAAAATCTGGTTAAGCAAATCCCCCATTGATTTCAAAAGAGAAGTTCCTAATTCAAGAACCTTCTCAGCAGTTGCTGGAGGCCATAATTCTCGCTGCGTAACTGTAAGTCTAAGTGACGGGGCGTCTCCATGGGAAGCCAACTTTTCATGGTCAATTAACGGTTTTGTGGTCTACCAGCTTTGTTTCTTGCGCGCTGGCTGTGTGCGCCATCAAAAAATGTTTGTGTTCTTGTGGTGCTATGACCTTTTCTAACAAAACTTTAACTTAAAGCAGTATACACATGCACAACGAACATATAAAACCGGAAAAAAAGCGTGAGTAACGAATGAACTCATGGGAACGACGAACAATGTCAGTTCCACCATTTAAGAGATAATACTTGAGGCGTCTGCATTTGACAGCTTACGCTCGACTTGTTCTAGTCCTTCTTCTTGTCTGCCTGGAAAGTCATTAGCTACTAGATTACTTCAAAGTAAAAGAAACAAGAGAATGAGTTCCTACCTACTCTGCCCATCACTTTAGTCAAACATTTTAACGACCAAAAAGTATTCTCGAAAAAACTGCAGAAAGCCTCGCGCGCTCTAGTCTTAGCACTCTCACAACTGAAAAAAAAAACTAACTTTGTCTTGCAAAACAGAAAGTTCCTGGCAGACACGGTCATATTCTTTTTGCAAGTTTTTGGACTGCTCCTTCATCGCATCCCTGTCAGTTTGTGCCGATTTCAGTTCTGAAAGATTTTAAAAATAAAAAGTTGAAAAACAAACGAAATACTGTTAAAACTCTCCCGACTTGAAGCTTTGAAGGGAGCTTAAGTTTCCAGCAAGTAACTCCACCAGGTTGGGATAGAAATGTTGTAAATACCCATTTCGCAAGCCAAAGCAAAAGTAAAGTCAGCTAAGCTCCGGCAGAAATTTTTAAAAGACAACGTAATCAAAAACTTTCAAATGACGGGTTAGTCATGCAACAAAACATTTTGTCAATGATAACCATATGAAAAGTTTTTAAAATAGCTAGGTTTATCCAAAGAAAACTCACCTTTACCCATTTCTTCAAGCTGCCTCTCAAGCTCTTTTTCTCTATCACTCTCACTGCCCTAAAAAACTATTGATATTTTACTTTTATAAGAAACTGATCGCAGTATCATCCACCTCAAACGTTTTAACTTTAAAATCCTACCATTAAATTTTTTGCTGCAGTGTTTGCACTTTCAGCTTGTTTCAGAGCTGCTGCTGCTGCAGCCTGAAGCTGCGAAACCCGCATCAAAAGGGCACTTAATCGTTTGATCACCCTGAATTGACTTCTCTTTAATTAAAGGTAAGGGGCTATTACACGTAATTAAAAATGATTTCCCTTTTAAATGGAAACAGGAGAGGAGCCTAAAGCAACATCTTGAACGAAGTAAGATTCTCAATAGGCAAAATAATTGGAACTGACAGAAATAGTAGTAAAGCAAATCCTGAGATATAAAGATTCCGTTGAGCCCGAAAGAGCCGCATATGGATGGCAGTTTCAGTATCTGCAGTATGTCTGATAGTCGAATCTAAAACCATTTCACTGCCGTACTTGCGAACTTCCCTAATCGCATCTGAAGTGGGAGAAGCTTCATTCACTAAAGTAAACTAACTCTTTAAAGTACTGCGTAAATAAAGTATAAGCAAAATCGCTCATCTACTTGCCAACTGAATTTTCTATTGCAATTCTGAACTACTCTTTCTTCATCTGATTTTAAACGCTAC